TCAAGACGGAGATTGCCGAGGCCGACGTGGGGGAGCTGCTGCAGCTCTTCGACGGCGTGGAGGCGAAGCAGTACAAGCGCCCCGACTTGGACGACTTTGCAGGAACAAAGTGAAAGAACTTGACGGGGACCACAGTGGAGCGACGGCACCAAGATGGTCACGCTTGACTACTCGCACCTCACCAGCGTGCTCTGGGAGGCGTGCAAGGGCTGAAGCTTGGCAGGCCAGCGGGGCCTAAGAACAAGTAAACATGAGCATCCGGAGGAGTAGTAGGGAGTCCTTGTCCACAGTCAGGCTGGCTGAGGCGCGGAAGTCGTCACAGGCCTCCTATGTTGTAGGATTGACCGTGAGCTGCAGGCTCCGGGCAAAGTCAGGTGCCACAAAGAATCGTACTTCATCGGGAGGCAACTAGCCAAACGTGCCAGCAGAGACATTCAACAACCTGAAGTGAAGGCTCTGCAGGGTGGCACACGTGCTTCGATACCATATAGCACATATAGGAAATAATGCAAAGCAACGAAACTGGGCTTATCTCTGCGCCCTCTGCAGGCCTCGTGGTACTCGTCGTGCACGGTACCATGGGCAACCCAAAAGTATTTGCATGAGACTTGCATTTGTCACCACAGAGTGTTTTCTTGTTTCCGTACAGTGTCGTCATCGGCGACTACTTTGGTGGTCAACGATTATCTTTTACTGGCTACAAATTGGTGATGGACTTGCTAGTCAGGAATATTCGTTTTCTGCAGACTGTTCTGGATCTGTGCAATTACCTGATAGATCGTTTGCTGTATGTAACGGAATTGAATTGAATAAGAAAAGCCGTGCGGTGAGGTGCCTTCCAGTCAACGCTGCCCTGGAACAGAGGCAGAGGAAGAAGAATCAGAGCTGGTGGAAGAGGATATCCTGGATGCTGTGCGTGGATTGGTGAGCGGCGGCTTGGTGGCCGGATTGTCAAAGCTTCGGCATCAGCGGCCTGGCCTACCGGTTCACGACACGGCTGGAAGGCGGCGCAGGCGTGGTGACATTTTCAAGCCCGTCGTACCTGCGCGGCGGCTGCAGCTGGCACCGTCGAATGTGTCCTTCGCAAGCGTTGCAGCAGGGGCGACTCCATCACGACCTGAAGGTCGGGAGAACAGTTTCAAGTTGCCCCACGCCCTAGCACTTGCGCTTGACGGAGGCAATCCTGTGGCCAGCGGATTGACGGGGACTATATAAATTACGCAGAGTTCCCATGTCAATGTAGTATTTGTGCTATATGGTCTCCACTCTCCCCCAGGTCAGTGCTGTATGTACGATGTGTGCTACACGGTCTCCACCCTCCCCCAGTGCTACATGTACTATATGTACTATATATATATATATATATTATGTGTGCTGAAATGTGCAAACAGCGCGCGTCTTGATACCATATAGTATATATAGTACATATAGTACATATAGTACATATAGTACACACAGCACGGACCCGGAGAGTGGAGGGTCTTGCAGGTTGGCGAACCTCCTATAGTACATATAGTACGAACAGAGAACAGCGCACTGTCTTCTTAGAGGGGATTTGCCAAACGGGTTTTGATGCAGCTGAGGGGGTTCTGACAGTCGTCGTTCCAGGAAACGACCTCGATCCGAGAGCTAAAGTGCTATTTGCCCCGTAGCTGCCTTTGTTTCTGCAAGGCGAGCCCCCTCAAAGGAAACCCCGTTTTTGGAACCCTCGGTCGTCGGTCGGTCGTCGTCGTCGGCGTCGTCGTTCGTCGTCGTCGTCGTCGTCGTCGTCGTCGTCATCGTTCGTCGGTCGGTCGTCGTCGTTGGCGTCGTTCGGCGTCGTTCGCGTCGGCGTCGGCGATGCGAAGCGGTGCCCAACACAGGGCGCACCTGTGTTGAAATGGGTCGTCGGCCGTCGGAGTTGGGAGTTTTCCGAAGTATCGGATGAGAACCGACACTTCGGACAACTTCCATTCGCAGCGCATGGACACCAGATTCTCCTCGTCGGTCGTCGTCGTCGTCATCGTCGTCATCGTCGTCGTCGTTAATCGGTCGTTCGGTCGTCGTCGTCGTCGATCGGTCGGTCGGGGAGCCCTTTTTCCCCTGGTTTTTAGCTCGCCTTGCAGAAACGCAGCTACGGGGCAAATTGCAAGCGTATCGAGGGGTCGATATAGTGCAGCGCACGGCTCCGCAGCACTTTAGCTCTCCAAATCTCTGCAGAACGAGGTCGTTTCCTGGACGGACGAGTGTCAGAACCCCCTCAGCTGCATCAAAGCCCGTTTGGGCAATCCCCTCTAAAGAGAGAGCAAGGGTGTCTTGCTCTGATCTTCGGTTATATGGGCATTCAGGCCACACTTACCAAGACTTTCAGGCGGAATCGGAATCGGAGGGGTGTGCGTTAACTTGACTTCTGCCTTTTGTTATGTCAGTGTCATTCGTTACTCTATCTGGAGAGCAGGAATGGAACTCTTCTGCCGGGCCACAATTGCTCTTCCGCCGCCTTCCCATAACACTTGTTATACCCCCCAGCCAGGCCTAGTCCGGTTGGCGTGTGACGGTGCGCAACTACGCTGTCTTCGACAGATTGGTTTTAGCCCTGACGCCACGACTGCATTGTGGTCCGAGAACGCCGGGGCGCACCCGACAGGAGCGACGCTGAGCACTGACTTCGAGATATCCAGAACGTCCAAGTTCTGGCCTCGCAGGTGGTGCTAGACTCAGCGTAAGAACTCGGCGCTGGTCGAGTCCGGGGCTCCCTCATGTTCAGCGAGTACATGGTGCACACCCAGCAGTCCAGCGTGCCGACGGGCGTGGCGGAGCACAACGTCACCGCGTACAATGAACTGCAGAGGCGTGCATAAGGCAAGCAACAAAGTGAGGGGCCTGGCGTGCGCGCGCGACCCTTTGTGGGGATCGGCGTCGATGTGCAAAACCTGCGTTTTTTTTTTGCGATTCCTGGCGCGCGACTCTGAGGGGGTCGGCTTGGTTGATGTGCAAAAATAAGGTTTTTGGCGATGTTTACGAAAGCGCATGCGCCGGTCTGCTCAAGGAAGCCACGCAATCTCCCCGCCTTGGCCGACTTCTGACATTTTCGTCGACTTTTCGATTGCACGGAAGATTGCCATCATCGTTCAGCTCCAAGCAAGCCGTGTAGAACATGGGCGTCGCCTGCTGAGTCGGGCAGAGTCACATATACACAAGATGCTTGGTGAGATATATATATGTGTATATTTATTTATACAAATTCACATTTGTATATATATATATATACATATATTTCTATACATGCGCAGAATGCGTCCATTGCAAGAACAACAGCGTTGGGCGGCCAACCTTTTGAATTTTTCTTTTCACGAGCAGTGGAGTGAGGCCCTCATGGCTGCCAGGTTGCATACACCGCCAGCTGGTTACATGCGTGTGAGCATTTCGCAGTTGAGGGACGCGGATCGCAAACTGTTCGCATGCCTTTCGGAGAAGTGCAACGGAAGCGTCCTGTGGCCGGGCAGCAGCGCTTTCGGTGCGCTCGGCCATCTCTCGATAGCACTGGGAGCGCCACCGCTGCCACCACGGGCACTTGTACTCCATGCAGCCGCCAGTGTTGCTGGGCGTGGCTTCCAAGGTCAGCCCCCAGTTGTGGATCAAAGAAAAGTGGCCGCTGCAGGAGAAGCAGCACGGTGTGCTGCGGGGATCGGTCTGGTCGATGTGCAAAACTGATGCGCGACCCTCTGCGGGGATCGCCGTGGACGAGGTGAAAAACCGCAGCACAAGCGCAGAGCCAAAAAGGAAGCCGCGGGAAAGACGTGCTAAGGACAAACGCTTAAATATACACTTACAAGTTAGAAAAAGAGTTTAGGGTTGAGGGAAAAGGGTTTAGGGTGTGGCTTGGCTAGTTCAAGCGCTCGCCTCGATAAAGACTGCAGGCCTGGACATTTCCAGACAGAGCATCGGCGCCTACGGGTTTGTGCCGCAGGCTCCCGTGTGCGCGGCGCTCCCGTCATTAGATTGCGGGCCGAGGCACCAGTGTAAGATCTTTTCGGTCTGAACTCGGAAACGACCAGAACTGTCGTTACGTATTGCAGCATTGACAGAATCTCTGCATCCAGCATGCAAGCTTATAAATCTGCAGACGAACATGCGGCAAGTGGTTATAGCAGTCGCCTTGCTTGTTCTAGAGTGGCACAAACGGACTTGCCAAGGATTGCTTTTCCTGAATTTGACTTTATTGGTCAGCTTATATCAGCAACAGCGCCTCCAAGATTTCGGACTGCCATAAGCTATCTGAGTTTTGGCAATTTCGATCCTTTGTGTTATTTTCCGCGCGGGTTGCTGAACTGTAGATTTGGAAAACTTGAAGTACGTTGCACCGTTTCAGGTGCTTACTCAGAAAGACGGCTTAAATATATCATTCTCAGTTGGTGCCAGATTTGTGCAGAAAAATGTTTTTGGTTCTGGGTGTTTCTGCTGTTGCCTTGCTTGTCTTGACAACCAGCCTAATCTCGCCCACCAGCTTTTCTAGCAGCACGTCCAAAGAGTCGTTCCGTGTTTGCCGGTTGCTGTGTGCCAGCAGGTAGGAAGCAGCGCGGACCGTTCGAACCTGCAGAATCCCAAGCCCGGCAGTAGCAACAGGCGGCATTGCTAGAAGGGCGTCACTCTTTAAATAATTCGATCGCTCGGTCCCACCAGCCAGTGACTAAACCCGAGCATCAACGTAAAGCTCCACAAAGGAGTGATGACCGCAACCTTGAATACTTCCACAGAAGCTACGGTTGCGACCCGTGTTGTTGCTGCACTGACGGCGCCCTCACAATCATCTTCAAGAAGAAGGACAGCCGATTCGGTCCCAGTCGCAGCTATTCGGCTCATCCAAAAGCGCCAGGAGCAAGAACGCAACAATAGGGAGTTGGGCGAATCGCAGGCATCCGTGGATGATGCAAATTGTGCCTTTTCCTTTTGGTCATTGCTTGAAACGCCCAGCAAACGCTTTTTGTGGGAGCAGCCCGGTTGCAGTATGGCTTCATGGCATGGCGTCCGTGGCTTTGCACGGGGCTCAGTTCGCTAGACGTTTGCTTCTGTGTACGCGGTTCTGTGAAGAGACCGCGTATGAGCGTACACCGAGGCCGTCCCCACGGCTAGGCGTGTCGAATTTGAGTTTCGGGCTATGACGGTTGTGTTGGCATTGCGGGTATGTCGAACCACTGACCATATGGGCGCGGATGAGCGGGTACATAGCTTGGACATGTTGCCACGCTGCCAGGCCCGGCGCAGGCCTGGCGCTACGAGCCGCTGGCGGTGGGCGAAGTGGAGACCCAAGGGGGAGCATATGTTGCTGTGACCCAAATGAGTCACTGGTGCTTAGCATCTATAAAGGAATAGTTGAGTTGGTTGCCGGGTTACCATTTCCAACATGCCCGCAAGCACAGGAATTTGCATTGCTGCTATTGCCACAAAGCTTGTTCCAGCAAAGCGACCGTGGAAGGTTCAAGGCGTTCAGATATACGCGCAGGATTTCTCCAGAGGATTCAACCTCCACCCGCACAACACTAATGCCTTATTCCTCCAATGCACCCTTTCAAATGTTGCATCAACCAAGTGGCCATTGTCTGGACACTCCGAGTGGGTTTGTACCACTGCAACCACGGGGCGCTGTTTCGTAATGGTGCCAGGTGCCGCGTCGATTGGATCTTGCTATCTAAGGCGCCTGCGAGGACTGAGCCCAGGTGGGAGACGTTCTCTGAAATTGTGCAATGAACCTGTGACAGGCTCAGCTCCTTTTAGGTGAGATGCAAGCGGGTTATGGACAGGGAGCTAGCAACTCGCAGTTTTTTTGCACACGGCGCCTTGAGAGCATGTTCAGGGCGCGGCAGCCGGACCAGTCAGAGCAGGCAACGAGAGCAGGAAAGGGAGCACATCAGGTTCTCTCAAAATATCCCGTCCGCGGTCAGAGCTGGGACTCTTGGTACTCACTCAACTTACCACAGAAGGGAACTCCGTCAGTTTTTAGTCTTCAGGCACAGAAGATCTACCATGTGGTGGAGAGAGAGCTTGGACCTCGGAGACGGAAGACAAGTCCAGGGATCGCTTCTTGCGAACCACTTCCCTTCGCGAGCTTTGGTTTTCCTTGAGAGGTTGGCAAGGCTGCGGCGGGAGCAGGAGGAGCGCTAATCGAATCGACAGCACTCGGCTTTTGAGTCGTCAAACAAATCCATCGCGAGGACACGGCGCAGCAGACGGAGGCGGAGCTTCGGCTTCGGCATTCTGCGCTGCAGAGCGCGCAGCGGCGCACGGGGACTCGGTGAAAGCGACGGGAAAAACGGAAAACAACTGGAGGACACGAGCGAGGAGAGCTGGGATGGGGTGCTGGGGAAGGGAGGGGACGGAGGGTAGCCCAATTTGATAAAGGGGCAAGGGATTGTTTCGTCAGGCATCTCAAGGCCTAGCTGAGGCCTCACTGCGGCTGAGAGCTTGGAGGAGGCCGAAGCCAAGGCGAGCAGAATTCTTTTTCCACGGATCTCCGGGCGCGTCCTTCGCTTCTCCGGGCGTTTTGACTTTTCAGGGGCGATGTTTTGACTTTTTAGGCGCGCGAGGCGGCCGAGGAGGCCAAGGAGTCTGCGGAGGCCTCGCTGGGTGCGGCGCCAGGAGACACGAGGCCGTGAGAAGGCTGTGACTTGTGGCCCATCCGTTTCTTTTTCCGTTCCTTGTGTCTTTTTTGAGAAACTGCCTGAGGCTTGACATTTCGCCTTGCCTAGGCCGTTTGGGCATTGAGCTGGTGCGCCTGCAGTCCCGTGAGGCGGGTCGCAAAGCGCGGTCGCGCCGCTTGGCTTCGCAAGTTGCTGCAAGGCGCTGCTGCTGGAGGAATGCGCCCGGGGCCTCGGTGAGGGTCTGCGTCGTCAAGCTGACCTGTTCTAAAGGCAAGCCGCAGAGGAGCGGAGGAGACACGAGCGAAGCAGACCCAGGCTGGAAGCACGGTCCAGTCGTGATGCCAACGGGTGGGCTGGTAACCACAGGTTTTTCGAGAGAACTGATCAGCCATGATTGAAGATAGAAAGGTAGTGATTGTTGGGTATACCGTTTTTCCAGCATTTATGGTATTTCCTTAGGCCGACAAAACACTTCGGAATGCCGCAGGCACACCCATCAACCCCAAAAGAATGGAATCCAGCTAGTCAGGCAGCACTGGCATTGTTAAAGTGCTGCATTTGAGCTAGGCATGAGAAGGGCCCGCGAATTGCCAATGCCCGAGAGCAGGTGTAATCTTGATCCGCATATTTTTCCACGTGACTCTTGTCATCTTCAGCCAGGTGACCAGCGGCGTATCTCTCGGGGGGGTGGCATTCAAGATGGATCGAGTTGCTACCAAGATCAGGCAGTATATGCACAATCAATCTATCACTCACTCGCTCACTCACTCAATCAATCAATCAATCTATCCATCCATCCATCCATCCACCAACCAACCAACCAACCAACCAACCAACGAACGAACGAACGAACCAACGAACCAACGAACCAACAAACCAACGAACCAACGAACCAACCAACCAACCAACCAATCAGCCATTCGTATTTCTGGGTATGACAAGCGAGTCTGGCTGGTGAGATGTAAATACGGATGTCTTTCAAGCCAAATGGATAATTTGCCTTGCTATTCCGATGGCCTTTTATCTATCAGCCAGCCAGCCACGTAATTCCTGCCCCTGCGAAAATCCCTTGGAGCTTTGCCAGGACCTCCGCGCCCTGCGCCAGTCCGCCAGCAGCGAGCGCCAGCGCCGGGAGGAGCTCGAGGCACCGGACTCGATTCGCCCCAAAGTGGAACGCGGTGAGAGAATAGTCCTCGACTCGGATGGCATTTTTTTTTTGCAGCGAACCATGTAGGTCAGGTTCCCCAAAAATCAGGTAGGTCTTCCACCTTTTTCCCCATAAAAGTAGGGGTGGCGGTGGTGTTGGTTGGTGGGACGATGGACCCCTTTGTGAGTTTTTTTCCTCTCAAACCTGTCTATTCATATTTGTGTTTGGACCAGAGCCGGGCAGAAGCGACGGTTCCGTTTCCGGGGGGCAGGCCTCTTCCCGCGAGCAGATGGAGGCAATGAGGCGATGCCTTCCAAAGCGCTCATGGCTTTGGGTCACCGCAAACATTCCCCTATGGTTCAGAAGCTATGGTTCTACCGGGACATGAACAATAATGGGATGTAGAAGTAGAAAGTAACAAACAAATAGCTAGTTAAGAGCATCATAATGAATGAATAAAAAGTAATAAATAAGTAAACACATGCATACTTGGAGAATGAATGAGTGAACAGATTGTATCCATGGGCAATGAGCTGTTCACTTCTCCCCATCCGTTCGGCCCAGGAAGGAGCTCGCCCGCAGCCGCTCGGAGCTGGAGGAGTTGCGGCCCGAGCGCGGGGCCCCGCGGTTTCGGGTCCCGGCAAATGCCTCGGGTGAGCCACGTGATCCAAACGAAGGGCCGAAGGGCCGAAGGGCCGAAGGGCCGAAGGGCAGGATGCGTTTTTCGGTTCTGTCAACCAACCTAGTTCTCTTGGCTTGGTTTCGGTGTCAAATGGCAATTGGAGGGTCAGGGACAGTCCTTTGCTTTTTTTTTGCATATGGTTCGCGGGGTGGACCATTTCAGGATCGGGTTTTGATTGTGTTTCACTTGCCAGAGCTTCAATATTGCCATTCTGAAGCGTCTCTGGTTTTCTGTTGGCCAGGTGCACCCAGGAGAAGTGGCGCAAGCAGAGGGCCATCGAGCGGGAGAACCGACAGCTCAGGGACCGGGGCTTTCGAATGAATCGGCCTTCGAATAGAGAGACGAACCGATGGACGGTGGGAAAATATGGATGACCTAAATGGGAAGTGGTTTCGCTCGCTCCCCAGTTTTTGTTTTGTGCACAAATCAATCACAGTGGCCGTTGGATTGCTGGATCCTTGCCAACAAGGCCATAAGAAAAGGGGGCTCACTAGCAAGAAGCATATGCGGGAAATCGTGGACAGGAGCGGCTGCTGGCCCTGCAAGATGCCGAGGGCGACTTGCGACGCCGCGCGCCTGTCTTTCACGCCACTTATATTTGGCACATTGGATCATTGATGAAGGCCTCAAGCTTCTTTAAACTGACACACTTGACGAGCTTATATCGTTTGGGGGATCTCCCGATTAAGTGGTGAATCAAACATTTCTTCTTTTTTTCTATATAAACATCTCTCTCTCTCTCTCTCTTTCTCTTTTTGTGGGGGTTCGCTTTGTTTTGTTGCCATTGCTTCCGGAGTGCCGCAGACCTCAGGTCTCCGCGTGGAGCTGCGGGATGCCTCACAGAAGGGCACCGGGAAAGGGAGGGTGTCGGCTCGAGCGGCTTGGACACATACATTTATCGGAAGTATGTGTATTTTTTTGGGGTCCAGTCTACTTGGCAGGGTTTTCTCATTTGGCTTCCAGGCTTGGTCTGGAGATTTTGCATGGGAGGGGGAGGCTGCAGAGGTCCGGAGACTTCGCGATCCATGTGGCCACTCAACGATGGCGTAGAAGCTCGTGGGGCGCTTCGTGCCTGCCGCCTTCGGAGGCGAGGAGGAGAAGGAGGTGGCTGCTGGTGGCTCAGATCGCCGCGCTTCAAAGCCGGTGGAATTTTCCGGTTTCGGCTGTTGAATTCCAAGTCTTTTCGGGTGCCAAGTTCTGGGTGCCCAGCTGGAGGTCCCTTGGAAAGTCCCCAACGCGCGCGAGCCGTCTCACAGGCGCGGGTCCAGCGCGAGCAGCGGCAGGGGAGGCTCTCGCAGGCAGAGGCGCTCAAGACCTTGAGGCAGCAGCTCGGACCTCGGACCTCAGCGAGCGCTGGGCTCACTTTGGCAAAACCCGGTAAAAACTGGGTAGATGAAGGTTTAACAGTTAAGGTGTAGTTCTTGATGACTCAGCTAAACATTTGCAACCCAGCTTTGACAAGGGGGAAACGGAAAGTGACCGGTGAGGCTTGCCTCTGAGCAGGGCGAGCTGAAGGAGCACGGCCCTCAGCCGAAGCTTGCGCCTAGGCTTTTGACCTGTCTCAGGCTGCGGCAGCAGCTGATGAGCTGCGAGGCGCACGCCCTGCGGCTCTCCGAAGGTGGGGGCCTTGGGCACGGAGTGGACATGGCCTAGGCCTAGCATCTTGGTGTTGAGTGCACTCAGCATTTGCACATTCAGCTGCGCTTGATGTGGACGGAGCCCCAGGCTCTGAGGCCGCCGTTGCACGGGAGGCGAACCGGGTCAGAGTTTGATCGAAGCCATGTGCTGGCCCGGGTTCGAGCTGCGGGTTGACAGGCGGCTGCCGCGCTGGCACAGCGTCAGTTCTTCGAGCAGCAGCAGGGCACCTCAGGAGGTTGAATTTGCACCTCGCGCCAATGTGCGCATAGCATTTTGTTTTTGTGCGCCATCAGGGTCCAAAGGCGAAGTCTTAGAACAGGCTGCAAGGTCCAGAAGTGACATCCGCCAGCACTGAAGCTTGGAATAGAGGCGCCTCTTTGAGCAGGCTGCAGCCCTGCGAGCATTTGGAGTATAGCCTTGCCGGCGCAGGGGCTGGAGCAATGAACAGGTCCATACCCGTACTCATCACGGCGGGGCTTATGACTTGTGTGTGCCTCTTGAGGCACGCAATTTCCGGAATCCGACTCATGGAAGTTCTACAAAAGTTTCACCTGGGATCTGTGCGGCAATCGTTCAGCAGGCCGATGGAGTGGATCCCATTGCAAGCTGGCGGCATCAAGGACAACCTTTGCTGTGTGACTTAGGGTCATCTGGACTTGAGGAGCCATCGCGCAGTGCCTTTGCCATGAAGTCTGATGTTTCAGAGGGGACCAGGTTTCGGGCGTGGTGCGCGATCAGCTAACAAAGGTTGACAAGGTCCAAGCATCATATTCTGCTTTGCCGACATCCTGCACGATGGCACTCTTGTGTCTCAGCTGGGTGCAAGAGCGGCTGACCCGTGTCCCACACAAGCACAAGCAACAGGGATTTGCTGGCATCAAGGACGATGGCACAGTCGTGACATGGGATCATGTGGAAACTGACGGAGATAGCAGCCATGAATGTGTCAGACAGGGGTTCAGGTCCAACCACATTCTGTGCGATGGCACAATAGTGACTTGGGGCAATGGAGATGTTGGTGGTGTTCATGACGAGGATCAGGACGAGCTGGACATGTTATATCACATTTGTGCTAGATTCACACACACACACACATGCGCACACCAACCGTTCAGCAAATCAGAGCTGTCTCCCATTTGGGAACCGCCGTTATACTGCATGGTTCACGGAGTTCTTGCATGCCCCGAGTTTTTGAGGTGCCTGGATTTGGCTGACCAGAATGAGTGTTTGCATTTATGCGTCTTGTTTCGGGCTCCTTCTCAGATTCTCTTGATGCATGATTCGTCCAGTCGGGCTTGAATCCGATCCAGGCAAGGGCTAGACGAGAGCCGGATCCAAGAGCCGCTCAGCCGGGAGTTTGTGCGGTGGCAGAGTGAAGTGGCGTAAACTATTGCTTTTGCCCCCGAGAGTGGACTGCACCACCCAAAGTCTTCAGAGAAGGGGCTGTCGAAACATGTGTTGAACTTTGGTTGCCACGGGAACGTTGTGCGCTTCCGTGCTTCCTGTTTCGCGGCAAAGCAAGCAGCACCAGTAGTTCTTGCAGCAACAGCCATGACCAGTGGAAGCAACTCCAAGCGGCTCGAGGCTGTGCCGCAGCTTGATGAAGGCAGAGTCTCAGGTGGCGCAGCTCGAAGGCGAGATTCGGCTGGATAGTCTCAACCATATTTGGACGTCCTTGTGAGCTTTTTGATGGGATATCTTCCATAGATTCCCCTATGGTGGAACCCCTCATGTTTTTGGCACGGTGCTTGCGGGGAAGTTGTGGTCAGTTTGAGTCCACGTGATATTGACCCATCTCCAGCGAGCCACGGACCCCGCAGCATGCTTGGTCCAACTCTTTAGGTTGGCGCTCGAGCCATGGAGGAAGCGCGGGACCTCGACGCTTGCCTCGAGTCCAGACTCGACGCTCGAGAGACGCCGCTGGAGCTGGAGCTGAACAAGCTGCGGCAGTTCCTGGAGGAGGGGAAGAGCGCGACTTGCGTAAAGTGGCGCGCGATCGCAGCCTGGGGTTTTCCAATGGAAAAGTGTAGCTAAGCCGAAGCTCCCACCAAATCGGCAAATGGGCTCTAGGACAGGTGTGTCGTTTTTGGCGAGGTAATTACCACCCAGGGTTTAAACCATTAAAAAAATGGGATCCCTATACCATTGTTTACTTTTGGATGGCCATCCAAATGGGGTGAACCATTCTTTCCATGGGGGCCTACCGGTTCCCCGTTTTCTCCTCGTACCTTTTTGCGGGCAGCGGGATCCGAACACCGAAGCCGGAAGGAGCAGTTCTCCACGCAGCTGCAGCTGCTCCAAGAGCTCAAGAGGGACTCTCGCTCGAAGTCGTCAATTTGTACCGGTCGCTTTGCCCCACGGGTTGGTCCATTGGCGGGGTTTCCTTCCGGTTGGTTGGTTGGTTGGTCCATTGGTCCATTGGTCCATTGGTGGTTGGTTAGTTTTACCTGCAGTGCGTTGCTTTCTCCTGAAGACAGTGTGGAGTGACAAGCCCTGCGAAGGACTGATCGACTATACACTTGATATACTAGGGTGGTCATGAAATGCAACGCAAGGTAACGCAATGTGATGCATGTGGGTATCCATGTATGTGCGTATGTATGTATGTATGTATGTAGGTATGTCTGTCTGTATGTATCTATGTATGTATGTATGTATGTAATGTAATGTAATGTAGTGTAGTGCACTGTAGTGTAGTGTAATGTAATGTAATGTAGTGTAGTGCACTGTAGTGTAGTGTAGTGTAATGTAATGTAATGTAATGCAATGTAATGTAACGTAGTTCACCGTAGCGTAGTGTAGTGTAATGTAATGTAATGTAATGCAATGTAATGTAACGTAGTGTAATGTAGTGTAATGCACTGAATGTATGATGTATGCAATGTATGACGTATGTATTGCATGTAGGGAATATAATGTAATGTACTGTAATGTAATGTAATACAATACAGTACAATACAGTACTGTACAATACAGTACTGTACAATACAGTACTGTACAATACAGTACAGTACAATACAGCAATTTTCCTTTTTGATGTCATGCAATGCAATGTAATGCCACGTGCAATGCAATGCGATGCGATGCGAAGCAATGCAATGTATGTTATGTATGTAATGTATGGAATGTATGTAATGTACGTAATGCATGTAATGTTTTCAATGACTATGAAATGAATATGAAATAAATATGTAATGAAAAAGTAATGAATATGTAATGACGGTGTAGTGCAGATGTATTGCATGCGTAATGTATGTCATGTATGCCATGTATATGCATGCATGTATGCCTGCATCTGAAACGTATGCATGTATGTCATGTAATGTAATGTAATGTACTGTAGTGCAATACAATATAATGCAGTGCAATGCTCTGCAATGCACTGCATTGTAATTTAGTGTATGTAATGCAATGCAGCGCAGCGCAGCGCAGTGCAATGCAATGTAATGTAATGCAATGTAATGTAATGTAATGTAATGTAATGTAATGTAATGTAGTGCATGTATGTATGTTTGTCTGTATGTGTGCATGTGGGGTATCTATTGTCTCTAATGTATATAACTATATAATGTATGCAATTTATGCAACGTACGTAATGTATGTAATGCACGCAATGTATGTAATACATGTAAGGACTTAACGTATGTATCTGTGTAGGTATGTATGTATGTATGTAATGTAATGTAATGTAATGTAATGTAATGTAATGTAACCTAATGTAACGTAATGTAACGTAATGTAACGCAATGTAATATAATGTAATGTAATGTATCGCAGTATGTACGTACGTACGTATGTATGCATGTATGTATGTATGTCTGTATGTATGTATGTAATGTAACGTAACGTAACGCAACGTAATGTAATGTAATGTAATGTAATGCAATGTAATGTATGTATGTAATGTATGTAATGCATGTATGTATGTTTGTCTGTAATGTATGCATGCATACATGCATGTATGTATGTATGTACGTACGTACGAATGTATTTATTTATTGATTTATATATGTATTTACGTATGTGTGTATGTATGTATGTATGTATGTATGTATGTATGTATGTATGTATGTATGTATGTATGTATGTATGTATGTATGTATGTATGTATGTATGTATGTATGTATGTATGTATGTATGTATGTATGTATGTATGTATGTATGTATGTATGTATGTATGTATGTATGTATGTATGTATGTATGTATGTATGTATGTATGTATGTATGTATGTATGTATGTATGTATGTATGTATGTATGTATGTATGTATGTATGTATGTATGTATGTATGTATGTATGTATGTATGTATGTATGTATGTATGTATGTATGTATGTATGTATGTATGTATGTAATGTATGTATGTATGTATGTATGTATGTATGTATGTATGTATGTATGTATGTATGTATGTATGTATGTATGTATGTATGTATGTATGTATGTATGTATGTATGTAATGTATGTATGTATGTATGTATGTATGTATGTATGTATGTATGTATGTATGTATGTATGTATGTATGTATGTATGTATGTATGTATGTATGTATGTATGTATGTATGTATGTATGTATGTATGTATGTATGTATGTATGTATGTATGTATGTATGTATGTATGTATGTATGTATGTATGTATGTATGTATGTATGTATGTATGTATGTATGTATGTATGTATGTATGTATGTATGTATGTATGTATGTATGTATGTATGTATGTATGTATGTATGTATGTATGTATGTATGTATGTATGTATGTATGTATGTATGTATGTATGTATGTATGTATGTATGTATGTATGTATGTATGTATGTATGTATGTATGTATGTATGTATGTATGTATGTATGTATGTATGTATGTATGTATGTATGTATGTATGTATGTATGTATGTATGTATGTATGTATGTATGTATGTATGTATGTATGTATGTATGTATGTATGTATGTATGTATGTATGTATGTATGTATGTATGTATGTATGTATGTATGTATGTAATGTATGTATGTATGTATGTATGTATGTATGTATGTATGTATGTATGTATGTATGTATGTATGTATGTATGTATGTATGTATGTATGTATGTATGTATGTATGTATGTATGTATGTATGTATGTATGTATGTATGTATGTATGTATGTATGTATGTATGTATGTATGTATGTATGTATGTATGTATGTATGTATGTATGTATGTATGTATGTATGTATGTAATGTATGTATGTATGTATGTATGTATGTATGTATGTATGTATGTATGTATGTAATTAATGTATGTATGTATGTATGTATGTATGTAATTAATGTATGTATGTATGTAATTAATGTATGTATGTATGTATGTATGTATGTAATTAATGTATGTATGTATGTATGTATGTATGTATGTATGTATGTATGCATTAATGTATGTATGTATGTACGTATGAATGAATGAATGAATGAATGAATGAATGAATGAATGAATGACTGACTGACTGACTGACTGAATGAATGAATGAGTGAGTGAGTGAGTGAGTGAGTGAGTGAGTGAATGAATGAATGAATGAATGAATGTGTATGTATGTATGTCTGTATGTATGTATGTATGTATGCATATATATATATATGTATGTGTGTGTGTGTTTGTATGTATGTATGTAACGTATAAGGTAGGGTAAGGGAAAGTAATGTGATGTAAGGTAAGGTAAGGTAAAGTGAGTTAATGTAAGGTAAGGTAAGGCAAGGTAAAGTAGTGTAATGTAATCTAATGTACTGTAATGTAATGTATATATGTGTGTACGCAATGTACTTTGATATACTGTTATGATGTATGTACGCATGCATGTATCCATGTATGTAATGTAGTGTAATGTAATGTAATGTATGGTATGGTGCGGTACGGTATGGCATGGTATGGTATGGTACGGTATGTGTATGTAGGATGTAGGTTATGCAAGGTATGTGGAGTATGCAAGGTATGTAAGGAATGTAAGATATGTACGTTATGTAAGGTATGCAAGGTATGCAAGGAATGCAAGGTCTGTAAGGTATGAAAGGCATGTACATAATGCAAGGTATGTAAGGTATGCAAGGCATGTAAGATATGAAAGGTATGTATATTGTACTATAATGTAGCGAGATGTAAGGTATAGTAAGGTAATGTAATGTGATCTAGTGCAATTTGTAGTGTAGTGTAGTGCAACAAAATGTAATGCAACAACATGTAATGTAGCGTGGTGCCATGTAGTGGAATGCGATGTCATGTAATGAAAGCCAACTTGTACTACAAAGTAATACAATGTAGCTGCTGAATGTGATGTCATGTAATGCAATATAATGCATGCCATGTTATGCCAGGATATGGTATGATATGTTACGCATGTATGTAACACGACGCACACTCTTGCATGTCATGTTATGCCAGCTCATGTCATGTTCTGTGATGTGCCATTCCACTTTGACAATTTTCGCGCAGATGCCCTCCACTCTAAAAGTGACCTGATTCTGTGGTCCTCACTCCTCATGTTTTGTTGGCAGGCCCACTCGCCCGGACCGACACGGACAACAAGAGTGGCGGCGCCAGTTGGGCCCGCGGCGGGGGACATGTCTGTGGCCCTCGCCTCGGACACAGGCGGGCTCAAGTGGAGCAAACGGATTGGCTGGGCGGAATCTGGGCGGTTCGAGTTTGCCAGTTGACCCAGCAAAGAACTGTCAAAACTCGAGCTGCCGAAGTTCAGAATGTCCACTCGTGAAGCCTAAACACTATATACCTATATAGAGGCATTCAAACAAGAATTCATTGTCCGCAGAAGGAGAGGTGCTCCTGGATCCTGGCCTGGGCGAGTTCGAGCCCGGTCCAGGCTCTATGGCCAGCGACTGCATGTCTGTGGGAACTGATTGCGGGGAGTGGCGAGAGTTGAAGAACGGCGAGTTCAGAGAGCACAAGATGAAGGCCTGCGTTGTGCTAAGATCGGGTTGCAACTAGGACTGGGGTCCCCCTGCCAGAGTGCTTCTTGTGGATGGCAAAGGTGAACGCTTTGGATCGGCCGGGACTCCCTTGACGATTTCCGTTGCAGCGAGGCTTCCTTGAAAGGGAGCCTGGGTTTGTCGGAAGGGTTCATCAACTTGGTGACAACTTGAGGCCACTTTCCGGTCACACACTGCCCCTTCATGCTGTCTGTTGTACAGCACAAGGATCCTTGTACGGTTGTTGTCTCTGCATTTTCCATAGATTGCGCGTGGCGTGCATGGCAGGCCTTGGAAGCTCAACGGAAGATGCTCTCACCGGTCCTGTCTCGTGAGTTCACCGACACTGAGGCGCTCGAGGGATCGCTTTTTCTTTTTTTTTCACAAGGCTGGGTCCCCTTGCGATTGGAGAACCTTCACCAGTCAGCACTTGTTAACAAAGATGCTTCTATAGCTTTATATTCAAATTGAGTTTCGGTTTTGCTTCATTGCCTGTATTTGTTCAAGTAATTCTTGTTTTAGAGGTCTTTTACATTAGTTTGATTTCTTGCAAGCATCTTCTATTTTTAAGTGTGATGATTGTGACGATTACATTTTTATTCTTCTCTTCTTTTATGTCTCTTTATCGTTATTGTCCTTCCTGCCATCATCGGTACAGACTTTGGGCAGTTGCAAGGCACCGGCGGCCCTACAGTTGAAGGACGTCCCCAGCCTCATCGTGAATTCGCCATATTTCCCCTTGGTCATCCAGCACCTCCGGCCAATGCAAGAGAGAGAGAGAGAGCTGGCTGACTCCTTCTGGGAATAAAGGCGGGAAAAGGGTCTGCGATTTTGACAAACCATCCTTCACTCCACCATTCCCGTGTCTATCTAGTTCTTTCCATTTGGGTTGCCCTTTCTCTGATGCAAAGACTCATTTGCAGTTGGCCTCAGGATTGTGATCGTGGTGAACTTGCTGATCCTGGGAGTAGAGGTGGACATCACCGCGGCCTTGCCTTTGGGGCAGGTGCCCACCTGGTTCCAGGCGCGCATCGATCCGAACGCTAGGATTCGCAAAAGCAAGAAAACCAATCTGAAAAGCCGCGGTTGGATTTTGAGAACCGCCCTGAAAGACCGATCTCGGTTCCCAGGTTGGATCTTGTTCTCTCAGCAAGATCCGCGCGTGGCTCGCGGTTTCAACACCGGGCAAGTCGGAAGGAGCTTGCAAGTGATTCAAGAGACAATGGAAGAAAGGACCAGATTCCACTCTTTCCGGCAAATGAGCTTGACTCTTTCAGGGAAACAGAGCCAGACACTGAACGCTAGAAACAATGGCGATGTGCACATCGTGTGCAACGCACTTTCCCAATGTCTCTTGAAAAGAGCCTACCAGAGTGCCTCGACATTTTGTTTGGCATGCGCTCCAATTCCCTGCCTTTTTCGCCTTTGCGTTGTTCTTTTGAGCTGTAGAATCTATTGAACTATATAGACCTATGATAATTGTTTCTCCACACTCCAGAACCTCTCATTGCCCCTCAGGTGGTAAACTACTTGATCGTGACCGTGTTCGCCTTGGAGCTGCTGTTGAAATTCATGGCATTCGGAGCCTTGTGCTGACATTAGCATGTTCCCCGGCTCAAAGCTCGATTCGTGTCTTTTGCCGCCGCGAGCTCGGGTGGCCGAGGATGCCGGGAGTTTTTCTGCAGCTCTGACAGGGCTTGGAACGTGTTTGACCTAATCATCGTGCTCATTTCGCTTCTGGAGACTGGCGTCGAGGTCGTGGCAAAAGTGTCGGCCCCAGCCGTGCCAAAGTTGAGCGTGACTGTCTGGGCAAACACACAGACGTAAGATCGTCGCTTTCAAGAAGTTTATGTGAGGGCAACCGAATGCTGAAGGGGGGCAATGTTAGGCGGCAGCCTCAGATGGCGCGGACATGAACACCAGCCACCTTCGGGCTATGCGCTTGGCGCGCTTGGTCCGGACTCTGCGGGGTGTGCGCGTCATCCGCCTGTTGAGGTCAGGCCCTCGGTTACGCCCAAGGGTCGGCTGCAAGCCCAAGTAGATGGCTGCTCGATCCGTACCTGCGATCCATGTGATCCAAAGGGTCCGAATCAAGGGACGTTGCAAAACGAGTGACCATACCTTCGGATCCTCACGGAAGCCATTGGAGCCAAAGGGCCCTGCGCTGGATGCGCCTCTCTCAGCGCGAGGTACATCAGCTCCTTGCGCACCATCATGATCTCCATCGTGAGCACCATGGGATCGCTCTTCTGGACTTTGGTCTTGCTGGTGCTGGTCTTCTACACCTTCGCAGTGACTTGACGAGAACTGGGCTCACAGAGAGAACCCTCATTCCGCAAGGGAAGCAAGCCCGCTGCCAAAGATCGCGAGTGAGGGTTCTGAATGTGTTGAGGTAATTTTGACACAGCTCGTGTCGGACTACTGCAAGTACGACCTGCAAGCGGACACGTTGGCCTCCTGCAACTACCACGACGTTGCCTATTGGTCCAGCGTCCCAGAAAGTCGCCCGGCTAGGAGAGTGTTTGTTGCCTTGACGCCCGAAGAGCGCCTCTGGACTGACTTTTCTTCTGTGGCTCCGATCGCCTTTTGGGAAAAGGGCCGTTCGTGCAGGAAGCATGGCTGGAGGCTTCATGATACAGGAGAGGCACAGGGTGTTCCGCATGCTATCATGGACATATCTTGAGACCAGGTGTTTTGCCGACTGCCTTTCAGTGGCTAAGAAAGTAATAATTACCTCACATGACCAGGATCGCTAAAGATGAACGTGTCTCGCGCTTGAGGCTGAACGTTGCCCCACTTAGGGCAACTTTGGGCTGAAACGCAAGGGGCATCGCGTCTACACGCTCAGTTCACGCCGCATAGCCCCTGTTCAAGCATGAAGTATGAGTGCTGGTCGGACTTGCCCTTTGCTGGACGAGTGTTTCCGTGTTTGTCTGGTTCTGGCGGAAGACTTTGTTCATGTTTCATTTGGATTTGCTGCGCAGTTCGGGCGGAAGCTTTAGCTTGAAAGACGAACTTCCACCACGCAACTTATCCAAAAGTTGCTGTCTCCTGTACTCATTGCTGATGGATAATGTCCTGCACCATCTATATGACAAAAAGTCCTGGCACCTCACGCTCCCAAGTTTACATTGGGTCTTTGTGAGTTACACCAGCCCAGCCGTGCACTTGACAAACATCTTGCACGCGTGACGTGTCACAAGATGGAACTAGTGGCTCGCAATGAATGTGGGCCACACCCGGAGGTGGTGCAGAGCTTCTTGTGTCCAACGTAGGTATGCTGACCCTCTTCTTGTCCATCTCGGGCGGCCTCAGCTGGATAGATGCGCTGCTGCCTTTGCGCCAAATCGGGCCAATTGCGGTGGGAAGCATGTTGCTGCCCCTTGAAGCATCATAAATACATTTAATGTTCCGAGCATTGCGTTGCTACTGGGTTCCAGCATCATCGGAAGACTGCAGCACATGTCAATGTGACATGCAGCACAACCGAGGTATATTGTGCTGACCATCTTTGCAATTTTGAATGTAGTGACCGGCGTTTTTTGCCTTCTGCTCAGAAACGCTGATTTGATGCGATCATGAGGAGGTTGCGTCACCCCGCTCACCCCCTGATTTTTGAGCGATGCTGCCAAGGCAACAACGCGATCGAAAGCGCGAAGACTGACAAGGACAAGTGTTGGTCGCTGTCTTTGTCAAGGGTTGTATTTGGCTGCAGAGTATTGTGAGCGCAGGACATTGCAATCATGAAGCAGATGTACAAGCACGAATCGCAAGTGAGGGCGTTGCGTGAAATCTTTGCAGAGATCGACATGGACTCCTCAGAGAAGATTACAATCAGTGAATTGAAGGCGCCTCGAACTGGGCGTTGACTGATATCTGTTAGAACAGATTGGGCTTGTGGACACGCTAGACTTGCGTGCTAGGCAATCCCATGAAAGTCTGCTAGATCTCGTCCGTTGCAAGTTGGGCACAGGGGAATAAAAAACTGATAGCATCAATGCTATAAAAAAATACAAAATGAATAGCAGCTGATGCAAGCACAAGTCGCTGCGCCTAAGGAAGCGTTGACCGCCGAGAAGATGCGGAGCTTCCTGCAGTCCATGGACATCAGCACAGAGGACGTGTGGACGCTCTTCATGCCACTCAGAAGTCAGCCTATGTCACTCATTTTGGGTGGGTACCCGAGATGTTCCCAGGTAAGTGGAATTGCTGGGTAAAGACATTTGGCCCAATGCTCCTACACCAGTAGCCGAAAGCTAGAAGGGTTCTGACTTCAAGAATGACATGAGGCAAAAGTAAATTGGACCCTGCAAGATCTTGCAGGTTGCGCAGACTTGCAGGTTGCCGCTCAAGGTTGCTGCTGGCGAGCGAGACGCAGAGCGCAGGTTGTTGAGCATGACGCAGAACCGGTGCTGTTGCAAGGTGCGCATGGTGCGACAAAGTAGCAGGCAACATCGCTGCAGGGTGCCTGGCAGTTTCGTAGCTTTCAATGAAAAACCATTACTTCTCCGTGCTGAACGATGGGGTGTGCTCTTGAGAATTGTGAGGCGTCCACCCCATGAGTTGCCTCCGGGGCTGCAGTTGCAGACGTTTACTATTTGCATAGTAGGCATGCAATTCCAGCTGGCAATCGCGGAGACGTGCAACTGTGCGAGCATCATGCTCCGAGCCGTGCCAACTTGAACCAACACAACGAAGCTTCAGAGCGCGCGGATGGAGCTCGCACCTTGGAATCCCACTGGCTGCGTGAAGTCATGTCAGCTTGTCCAGACACAGCAGCTTGCACGCCATCCGAGAGCAGACGAGTCGATTAGCCGATTAATTAATCGGCCGCAAACTACTCAGCCGGTTTGGAGCAGCACGTGTGCTTTTGTTTGCCACGTGAATGCACATGCGTGCCTATTTTCGCAGTGTACATAGCTGAGTCCACAATATATACAGATGTGACGTTCATTCCGCGCGTGCGCATGTATTCCAAGCTTGCGGCGCCCGGCGCGCGTGTTCCGGGTGTACCCACATATGCGTGTGCACGGGTGACCCTCGCACGCGCGTTTCTGTTTTTCCCCAGTGTGTGCTTGTGCACGCGAGTGATCGCATGCGTGTTCTGAGCGTGCGTGCACACAGGTGTGTGTGTGTGTGTTTATAGTATGTATGTATGTATGTATGTATGTATGTATGTATGTATGTATGTATGTATGTATGTATGTATGTATGTATGTATGTATGTATGTATGTATGTATGTATGTATGTATGTATGTATGTATGTATGTATGTATGTATGTATGTATGTATGTATGTATGTATGTATGTATGTATGTATGTATGTATGTATGTATGTATGTATGTATGTATGTATGTTTGTTTGTTTGTTTGTGTGTGTGTGTGTGCGCGCGCATGTGACATGTTTTCAAACTGCACATGAGCGCGCGGGAGTTCGGAATCTATACACATGTGTGCTCTTAGGACAAACATATATGTCTCGCGCGTGTTTTCAGGTGCGTTTCCTGCTTCCACAGGATGTGCACATGTGTGTTCGCAATGTGTACACATGCTCTTTCACACTTACACACACACAGACACCCACGTGTGTCCTCTCTGCACATGTTGCGAGCGCAGACACACTCATCAGTGTTCCGAGCGTACACGTGGGTCTTCACATTGCTGTTGAGACATACAGGATGCTTCATTGCATTGTCCGAACTCATGTTTTTGTCAAAGATCGGAACCCCTGGAACCCTACAAACTGTATCATGTCAACAAAATGGAATGAGCTGCCGCCACTTTTTGATGTCTTCGTTTTGCTTTCCCGTTCGAGCCGACCAAAGACCAGCGGGGTCCCAAGTTTCAACAAGTTGTTGGAGAAAAAGTCAGCTGGAAGCTTCAACGATGTTGTATGGAACTCGTGATCTCAGGGTCATCGACAGCAACGGCGATGGTGTGATCTCCGCAGACGAGTTTGCGCCCAGACTGACACTTATGGCCTAGAAGCGAAGCAACCCCATACTCTCCACCCCAAACCCGAAACCCGCCCCGATGGAACAATCCGGACCCGTCATTTCTGGGGCTCCGGACCCTAGGACCCGGCTTCAGGTCCTCGCGTGCCAGCAGCTCCAGGGTCCGGCCAAGGGCTTGCAGATGGCGCGGATGAGCTTCGAGAACACCGTCATGCGGGAGGAGGCAGGCACTTGCACACACAGATTGATATATATATATATATATACATATATATGTATATAATACATATATATATATAGATTGACAGATGTATGATTTTTTGAATGAGTTCACAAGCATCTTGGCAATTGCCTTTGCAAGGCGTCTTTGCGAGCCCTTCTATGTTGTAATGTAGTACGCGCTCCTGCACGGGTCATTTGATGCCGTTTTGTTCCCCAGATAGCTTTAGGGGTTTTTACGTCTAAAGAGGTGGGGTTTGTGCTGCGAATTCGGGCCAGGTGGGTGCTGCATGTGCTGGTCAGGTGCTGGTCAGAGTGCTGTTTGTATGCCTAAGGTGCTATGGTGGTGGGTACTGGCGGTGCTTGTTTGGCGCTGCAGTCAGGAAGGTGCTGTTTGGGGTGCTGGTCAGGGAGCACTCTGGTGTGCTCCAGGTGCGCGGCAGTTGCTGGTCGTGCTTGTTTGGCGACGCAGAAGGTTTGGTTTGATTCTATAGGTAGTCTTTCCATGTTTTATCATTTGTTCTCGATCATCATTGTGTGTTGTTTCCACTAGACCGGAAACAAAAGAGGCCAAAACCAAGAAAACAGCCGAAACACGCAAAACCACCAAACCAAGTCTATCCCTTCAATTGCTGGAATGTGCTACGTTTTGTTATTTTGGTGTTTTGGCTTGCTTGCCACATGACACGCACTATGCGGGGAATGTTGCGCAACATTCCACAATGAACTGAATACCTAGCTTTCCTTTTGCTTCGTTCGAGTCAGGCCCAAAGCAATTTGACGGATGGCCAAAGCAAAAAAGCTTAGTCCAAAAAATGAGTCATCTCAAAGTCATTTTCTAAGCTCCGCATTTGGAGACTCAGCATGTCTCAAGACTCATTCTAATTTCTTCTTCTTCTTCTGTCATTTTTTCCTTCGAAGTCTCGGATGATTTTGCTTTACATGTCGGCATGTTGTTGAGATTCGGATCGATTTGAATCTTGGGCCGGGTACCAGCCAGCGCAATGATGCTAGCGAGAAGAAAAGAAAGAAAGAAGACAAAAACGATGAAATTTCAAGGACGGAAACAAGGAACGTGAGTGTACAGTGTGCAGTGTGCAAGTGTGCAAGTGTGGTACAATGTGCATTGCAGTCTGCAGCCCAATGTGGTGCAAGTCTTGGGCAAGTGTGTTGGTGCAATGGCAGTGCAAGTTTGTTGCAAGTGAGCTTGTGCAAGTGCAATTGTGCAAGGGTGTTTCACAGGTCCTAAATGGAGGCTCAGCCGCAAGCCCAAAGATAATGATACCGGAAAAGCAAATCCGCAGACCTCGGGTGAGTACATTTGAAAGGTGCCTGTTGACCTTGAGAGGTGAAGAAGCTTCAGAAGGACTTCGTCCGCTTCAACAAAAAGGCTTCACGGCGGATATTTTGGGCAGTTACACCTTGGATTCAAGGTTCTTGGGACGCGTTTGCCGGGCACTTGTGCGGGTCATTGCGTTGCCATTCGCATATCCAAGATTGAATCTGGCGCTTCCCCAACGCGGACGCCTCCTCACTCACCGAACCCGAAGCTGGAGCCGCGAGGTGCAGCTCGCCTCAGCCAGCGTTTGTGACGAGTGAAACACTCGCGAGTCTGGGTGAGACCCGCCTAGTGGGTCTAGCAAAGATCCAAGGCTGTCAGGCATTTAGAGCAGAGCAGGGAAGCCAAGCTGACTGTCTGACAACCAACGCGGGCCTTCAAACGGCCATAAGATTTGCAGCGGTGGAAGCCACTCCTTCCGTGCTTGAGCACTGTTCAAGGAGCAGCAGATGGATATCCAGGCCATAGCAGAATGCAAGAGAGATATCGGTTTTACCGCTTTATGGCTGGAGGCATGATACTTTGCAAGTCAAAATGGGAAGCCCTCAAGGTCCGAAGGAAGTCTGGCAACCATGTTAAGCTGATTCTTTGCACAGAAACATCTACCTTTCTTGCCAAGTGCCAGCCTCCATGCGCTAATGTGCCAGCTTGAGCTCGGCGCCAACATAGGCTCCGAGCAGAGCTTTCGAGCCAGCTGCGTCGAATGCCCCTGCGACGGAACGAAAGGATTCCGAGCGGGGGACGAAATGGAGTATGATCTCGAATGAGATGTTTCTTATGAAGGGCCTGTGGAGCTGTGCCTGTTAGCCCTCGAATGGTTCGGCTTGTTGGAGATGGTTCAGGGCACCACTGCTTCGCATTAGGTGCACTTGTACATCGAAGGATGCCATTCGGGGGCTTTTGAGCTCCAGGAGCAAAGGCTCGTTTGGAGAACTGAATCAGACGTGTGGACGATTCAACCTTTCCCACGGATGCTTCCCGGGTGTCAGCGACGTAGGCTCGCAGTTGGCACACTTTCCCGCGAGAGCAAAACCGGCGCGCAGCGGACCTTGTCATGGGTGTTGTTTTGGCCAGTCTCAGTTGCTTCTTTCGGGATTTTCCCTTAAGCCCGACCCGACAAACGGACTCTCCCTTTACAACTACCACGAGGGTGCACAGGTTGGGGTGCGGAACGGGCCCTCAAGGCACTACTTCTGTCTTCAGTGACTCCGAGAGCCAGCCTTGATAAAGACTAATGGAGACTTTCAAGCATTCAAGCTTTTGTTTTGCTCCAACTTTTGGAACCAAGACCAAACAACCTGGACATGAAAGGTGACTTGTTGTGTCATAGGACCCTACTCACCCTGCTCAAGGTTGTCTGCAAACCAGCGAGGCAACAACGGAAAGCGATGGCAGCATGGGTGCAAGAAAGCAAGGCAAGCAGGGAAAGCAAGGAGGGGAAAGGGGACATCGAGCATCGCCCCGATTTTGCAGAGGATGCACCCTGCAAAATCCGCAACAGGGTCTGAAACACCAAAAAGGTCGATTTGCTTCAAGTGAGAGCAGGGTTTGGGAGTCTAAATTTGGAGTTCAATGAATCTCCAGTCGCCGGAAACAGACTGTGGCATTCCGTGTCGAAAAGTGCAGCTCCAACCAGTGCAACTAGCCAATGCGCCACAGCCAGTTAAGAGCTACGAGGAACACAGCATGAGGGCAGATGATCACAACAGCGGCTCAAGCTATTCTCTGGCAGGCTTCTTGGAGCAATGCAGGGGGCTGACTGCTTCTACGGTGCCATGCGGGACAGGGCCAATCTCCTTTGGAGAGTGCAGCGAATGTGGTGCCAAGCGTGCCAGAAGATCATCTTGGGCTTTGAAGAGCAGGATGCCTTAGACATCTTCGTGGCACACTTGAGAGGAAAAGATCACGCAAAAAAGGTGAGGCAGTTGACGGAAGATCAGGTGTGGCAAAGATTCCAAAGCATCGCGAATTGCAGCATTTGGCTGAATCACCGCTCTGGTGAAGTCTGGAAAGACAGGAGCTGCCTCTGGCAAGCTTCAACGGAGGAAGAGATGCACTCCCAAAAGAGGACGGGGTTGGTGGGGTTTTGAACTTTTCATTGGGTTTGCTTTTGAGCTGCCCACCTCCCAGCGGGCTTCGTTCCTAGGCCCTTGGACTGGTCGGTGTGGCACCGCACGGTGCACGCGCGGGAGGCGAGCCTGCAGAGGCCCCTCACCGCGTTCCTCCATGCCTCGGACCCGGGGAACGGCACGGTGGACACGGTCGACACCGCGCGCGTGGCTGACCACTCAGGCCGAAATTTCGGCTGAGGCCTAGCCAGATGCATGCGGCAACATCTTTTGATAAGCCTGTGGGTTGAGATTTGGCGCCAGCACCAGGTCCACCAGGTTGTTGCTAAGGGTCAGCCCGCCTTGAGGCGAGCCGGCAAAGGCCCTAACCAGTCTTCGGCCGCATGCCTACCAGCTCAAGACCCAGCTCTGGGAGGAGCGGGGCAGCGCTGGCTTCATCGGAGCGAAGCCTCAGTTTGTCGGGATATTACTCGCCGCGTTCTTTTGCGGCAAAAAACAACTGGCAGGGCCGGACTTCCAGAATGAATGGGCAGGGGGAAGCACCAAGTGTCTTTGTAAGACGATTTGCTTGCTTGCAAACCTACCTTTTGAGAGGCGCGAGAGAAAGATACAAACAGAACAACAAGAGCGCTGTGTCTCACGAGGACATGGTGGAGAAGGATGAAATCAAGCGGGACTTGACTGCTTCATCCTTCGATTGGAAGACGTATCTCCAGGGAATGCCAAAGCTGCAGAACGACCTGCAGGTGTTGTCCTTCTGTGCCGAGCTCCACAGGAGCTGAAGTTTTTGGCAGTGGTGCCAAGCTAGTCGTGTGTTGGGTGTCAGGAGCGCCAGATGCAGGTGGACGGACTTGCCGCAGTTCCATTTTGTGGCATACACCGAGAAGTGGCGGATCCTTATAAGCCAGCACAGAGACAGGCCAGAGTGGGCAGTCGCTTGTGCAGATCTTGTCGGAGCCGCAGGAGATGCATCCTCATCTATGAAGATCTGCGCGGGAACTTCCTTTGTCTTGAGGATGCGCCGCTTGGAGAATGCCCTCGCGCGCCAAATCCGCGCGAGAGCGACGTGGTTCAAGCGTTTGGAGGAGCGGGTGCAGCGACCTAGTGCTGTGAAGCAAACCAAGATGTAAATGTAATTGCCAGGCGGCCCTAATGCAGGCCGGTTCCTTGATTCTGAGTTAAGCGCCAGGGTGAAAGCCGGCTCGAGAGGTGTGATTGATCAGGCTCGCTGGTGTTCCAACCTGAGATACCTCCCGAGCTTTGGCAAGCTGGCAGGAAACTCCTGGCACATGCGGAGGCTGAAGAAGAAGTTCGGCGCCACTGGCAGCTTCAAGGAGCTTGTGAAGAAGTTCCTCCGCATAGGCTAGGGCTTTGCGGTGTCCTGGCTGCTTGCGCATTAGGTTGAGGCATCGGCGCGTGGAATTGGACAATCTAGCTTTCTCATTGGGCAACCGCTGCAGTTTTGCTGACTCAGAACCATTGTTCAAGTGCGTTGATCGCCCAGTACAGTTTCTGCTGCGAGGAACATGATCAGGTTACTTTAGGCTGAAACTTGCCAGCTATTGTAAGCGCCGACTTAGAAGACTGGTTGCTTTCTGCAAAGATCAAAGCGTCTTGCAGGTGGCGATCTCTTGGATTTTGCTTGCCGGCATGACCTGCTGGAGTTCTCTGGTGTACGCCTGCACTGGCGGCTGAAGAGTGACCTAGCTTTAGGCTTTGTTCCTGGCGTGTGTTTCGGTTTGCTTTCAGGGGGGAGGTAGCTCTTCAACATTGGCCCATGGCGATTTTGAGTCGGGATGACTCCAAGGCGACCAAGTGGAGCAGGATTGGCGAGCCTTCTTGAGGAAAGAAGGGCAGGCATGCGGCTTCGGTGACGCGATCTTTGATGAGGCTTGGGTTGCGAGTTGCTATTGCCAGGAAGAAACAGAGTGACTGTGTCTACCTGATGACAAACGCATAGGCTTGGTTGCAAGTGATCAAACAGGCAATGGGTGCTCAGCCGCTTCTTCCAGCAAGGTGGCTGGGGCATTCTGCCTTTTCAGGCGGAGGGGTCATGTGAAAGCAACTCCTGATTTGTTTTCAGAACAAGGGACTTTAGCAGCGCACTTTTTGTAGATTGTTGGACCGGTCTACATTGTGTGGCTTTTTCCTGTTCTTGAGGGATGCGTGTCAATCTTTTGTTCGCCGAAACACGAATAAAACACCGACCAAAAGTCTTCCTAGAAGTAGCCACGCTGTGCCAAGGTTTCTGGGCGAATGCTTGTTTTCTTGGTTTCTAGCTTTTTGTTTTGTTGTCCGTTTTGGGACGCCTTGATCCAATTGAAAGACTGAGATTTTTTGCGTTTTTTTTGGTTTTCTCGAGTTGTTTTTTGGTTTTTGGCTCTGAACTGCGGGTAGAGCAGATCCAGTGTTGGTTTTTAGTTGAGAGGAGTTGCTGCTCAAATTCCAGTTTAACCTAGATTTTCGGGATGAACGAACTCTTTTTGAACTGATTGTTGTTGATTTATTCTTCCCCTCTGTTGCAAGCAAGAATCCTAAGGGGCATGCCTCCAACGCAAACCTCCCCAATGGAGAACCCTTTATGCTTGCGAGCCCCAACCACAGTGAAAACCGTAAATGTTGCACTGGGACCATTTTTGAAGCAGTCACTCTCAGGTTGCTGTCGAAGTGCTTGCTGATTCTTGGGCCACAACATGAGTCTTTGCCTGGCTTTTACCCCAGACTTCGATGCGCTTTGAACACACACTTGACTATGCCCACTTGAAGCATGTTGGCCCTGAAAAAGGGCCCGGTGTGTTTGCCTTCTCCTTGCAACCATCAAATTGGGTCCCTGCGAAGGCCAAAGGCAATACTTATTCGGCGTGGTTGGCATGTTTTCAGTTTGTTTTCGGTTTGTTTGGGTTCTGTTTATTTTTAGGTTTGGGGGCTGCAAAAAGTTAACCACCCAGGACCCTCAAACTACCCTTAAACATTGATATTCACCAACCATCACGTTGGGTCGCAACAACCCAGTTTCTAAAGATTTGCTTAGAGTAAGCGGTATTTTCCCTTGTTGCTTTAAAGTGGGAATCTATCACTACACTATTGGACATATTTCTGGTTTTTCCAGCGGACTTCCCGACAAATGGAAAAATGCCAAGGGTTGGAAAGGCTTCTACCGTGTTGGCAACTGGCCCTTGACAACCATAGAAACGTCAGGTCAATCTACCTTATTTCTTATCTTTTATCTTCATGTCCACCCGCTCACCGAGAGACAGGAGGTGAGGAGGTAAGGACATGGCGCCGGACTCTTCTCTTATTTTAATGGCCAGTGAGATTACTGCTAGGACTCGCCTCTTTCTCCCTTGACTGGCGACTTGATGCACGAGAGGAGAGAGCGCAATTGCTATGACGTACGGACCCGGAGGCACTAGATAGACAGGTATGTGAAGGACGAAGGAACGAGTCACCTGTCCACTGTATCATTCCTCTAGGAACTTTCTGTGTAAACTCTGATCTGAAAAGAAGAAGTCTTATTTAATTTCCTTTGGATTTGTTCTTATCAAACTCGACCTAGTCTCAAGTTGAATTTTACAGTCCCATAAATCTAATTTGCAACAAGGTTCGTATTTTTTGAATGTCAGAGAGCGGCCGTTGGTGGAGATGTGAATCTGGTATGAACCCCGCTACAACACTGTGTTTACGAAGTGTCCTGCCTGTGGTAGTACCGGGCACGATTGTTTGACCCGTTAACTTGGCACTATACTTCATTTTACCAATTTTCTCAGATTCTAACTGCCTTTCAGCAGGATGGAACAAAATCCAATCAGGGTTTATTTCTTAATTATAAGTCACATAACAGCTATTCTATGCAAGTTCTATTATACACAGATTGTTGCCCAGTAACACGACATGCTTTACAAACCAGTCACTCAAACACAATTTGTTCGACAGGAGCCCCAGCAAAAGCAAAACCAAGTGCAAACAACGGCTACAGACCATACGCGAGATCAACATATCAACACGTAGGCTGTGGACTGCCACATGATGCACGAGGACATCAGCCGCGCTTTGGACCGCTTTCTGCAGGACCGTTGCCGTTGACTGACCCGCGATAGACGAAGCCAAAGGTGTGAGCTCACTGTTCAACCTTCTTAGCTAGGTGACACCCGTTCAATTGCAACCTTGGTAATAACCTACTTTCTAAAAAGGTTGAGCGTCCAAGCATCGCCCGTTTCAGGCCGGAAGTGCTGCCGCATGGTCTGCGTGCTGCGTGCAGATCCGGCGCTGTCGCCAGTGCACCGACCACTTCCAGGCAGCTCTGCTGGCGCCGTCGGTGCAAGACGCATGGAGGCTTGGTGAACCGCACCAAGGTGGCTTTAGGTCAACTACAGCTCGAGCGTTGCATAAGAAGTCGGCTCAATTTCTGAACGTCCTTGTGTAATTTCTTCACTCCAGAGTGTGGGGGGGGGGGGGCGGGGTAATTTCTTAACATTTTTTTAAAACCGTGTCGATTTGGCAGGTTGCAATGTTGCGTTGCGCATCCCACTCAGCAAATCCCCATGTCGCACGCTGCTCTTTTAGACACTCAGGCAGGGTCGCGAGGGCAGCAGTAGCCCCAGCCGATCTTGAATCTCTTGGCGAAAAGGCCGTCAGCCGAAAACGCCCCGGCAGTTGACCCACTGCTTTCTTTTGTGGAAAGCTGCTTGAAGCCAACAAAAAGAGTGCTTCCAGCATCAGTTGTGCCAACAGCTACGCAATCCAGGGGCTCAATTTCCTAGCCACCTTTTCGGTTGATGGCCTTGTACTTAAGACAGTCAAGGGCCCAATTTCTTAGCAGCCTTTTGGACTGGCTGCCTTTTCGCTAAGAATTCAGCACCAAGACATTCAGGGATCACTTTCCAAGCGGCCTTTCTGCTTGCTCGAGCATGCCTTTTGAAGGCCTCTCACGGCTTTTTCTTCGCTGCATCCATTTGTGTTGTTGGACAAGTTTGTTGAGAAATTGGTCAGGCAAATCCTCGCGGGCTCAATGTTTTAGTAGCAAGAACAGTTGCAAGGCATTGGGCGCAAGCCAGTCCTTTTTTTATTATTATTACTTTGTGTCTTTTTGCTTTTCTCTCGCTTAGCCATGGACACCACTGCAAAGATGGAGCCATCTCAACAGGAGGCCATCAATGTTCAGATGACGCCAGAGAAGCAACAGCAATGGAAGCTCTTCCTCAGGCAGCAGGAAGACTCGGCCTTCCAGCAGTTGGTATCTCCCCAACTCCTATCACAACTCCAGCCCTTCTCAAGATCAAAGAGCGCTACAGGTGATGCGGGCCACGTAGATATGGCCAAACAAGGGCAATGACAACCAGTGATTTCCCAGCAGGTATCCTTGAGGCATCCTCATCAGGCAGGACCACTATGATGAAGCACTCCAGCATTGGCACATGACCAAGTCCCAGCTCAGACCTTCACTTCATTTCACTTCACAGGCAGCTCTCCCTCACTTCTCACGCCTACGCAGGCCATCCTGCGGTCTGGTTTGAAGTACCTTGTCCATATCCTTCGCGACCCCTCTCTGTCAGAGCATCAGGCCATCTTCGGCCAGGCGCACGCACTCATAAGGCTCACGCTCCTTTTCGGAGGGTTGGCCGCGCCCTCCCCTGTACATGAATTTACGCACTCCCGGGCGACTTACTCCATTTGTCCTTTGGTCGTCGCCTCCATTTTGGCGAGCCCTCCTTTGGATAGATCGCGTTGGTTTGAACTTGTAAATGCTGGCCTGCCAAGACTGATCAGTGAAATGTTGCATGCTGCTGCCTTGTTGCTGTTTTGTACGGTGGCTTTGCCCTTGGGAAGAAGAGGAGTTGCGACCGAATTGGCTGGCAATTCTCAGCCCCTCAATTT